TATGTTTCCACATTCGTGCGGGGGGGGAAATAAATCCACCTTTCCCCCTTGGGGGGGGGGGGGGAATTCAGAAAATGTTCATATAATTTTATCCTGAGAAAGAGGAGGGAGTGGGGTGGCGTGGGGTGGGGTGGGGTGGGGGAGGGGATGAAGACGAGACAGGTAATCATCTCAGAGCATCAAGAATTCAGCATGATTAAACCTTGGGAAGAAGATTCCATATTTGCACATCCGGGGGGTGGGGTGGGGGTGGGGGGTGGGAGATCACCTTTGATGTTCTGAGCTTCGATTCCATTTCGTGGTTTGTCAAGCCACCTCAATTGATACTTACACACTTCCACAGCAAAACTAGCGTGATAACGAATTTTAACAAAGCAGGATGACTTTACTGAAACAAATCTTGAAGTCTTCACATCTTCAAGGCATGCTCCATTTCTGTTATTTCCCCAATGAAATGAATAAAATCTTTCATATGAATTAAGCGTCAAGCTTCATTTTGTCTTTTGAGTGGAGGTGAAACAGTCTTTAAACGCATTGTAATTTAGATTCACCATGTATATTTTCGCTTCCATAAGGTTTTAATGCTTACGAAGTCACGAAATTTAAAAGCATTTGCTCAGTCTGGTTGGTTGACTAGCCACCTCGAATGATCCTTTTTATCTAGAGTAGGTATGATAGCATCGAATTGAATAGACCTAACTTAATTTTAACACAGTGAAGCTCTAATTGCATTTTATTGTAAATTTATTATTATTATTATTATTATTATCATCACCATCATCATTACTCATGCGATGCACACATTTTGCAAGCTTTTCAACTAGAAAGCGCTTAAATAGGTGTGAAACTGTGGGCTGATGGAGTGCTTAATGACCTCGTGACGTCAATATTATGCTTTTAATTGAGTGATTGACTCATTTTGCTATTCATTGTCTTAGAAGTGGTATAATGCACTTTGAAATACCTTCCCTACGGCTATGAACAGGCAGATACTACTGGTAACAGCTTTTTAAACAGTGTTAAGCTCCATAAAATTGAATAATCACATATTTTGATTCCTCGGTTTCCATATTATTGCGGCATCAGTTCCTCTTTCATAGTTATCGAACTATTTTTCCGTGCGCCCTAGTGCTTATAACTTGACGTTCTTTGTTTTCCTCTGAACAATAATCTATCTCCACATCAAATTGTCAAGAAAATGATTGCAAATATTGTGAGAAAAGTGATCACCAAGTCACGATCCTGAGATTAAGGCAAGTAGGTCATTTATTTTTTTGGAAATTTATGAATTGTTTCGATGAACGGAACTCACATTTCACGTGGAAGTAACACCAACAGAATTGCTTTGAGAAGTCTTGTTTCCTTATTGATTTTCTTCTCACCTGGGCACTTGAGTGCGGGTTAAAAATTGCGTTTATAGTGCCCCTGTGTTAGCATTAATTTCCAATTAATTCTCATATGGTTTCTACTCATTTGAGTGAAAGCACTCTTAGGTAAAAGTGCGTCCGTACTCGTATGGATTTTCAATTATTACTCATTCTGTTCATACTTGCGGCCACTTAAAGTGCTTGGTACACTATGTTAAAGGGCATGATTATAAGCGCGGGTTAATTGAAACACGAAATCATTTTTGAATTCAAGTACTTGTATAATTAATCGATTTTGTAATAATCAACAATAGGCAGACTTTCCACCATGGTTGCGCATGTTTGCACCTCAGTTGGCGCTTTCTTTCCATTAGTTCGAGTAGTTATTGGTTTTGTCACCGACCTATTTACTAATTTCTCATAACCTTTTTTGTAGTGGAATAAATATTCACCAAATTTATCCATCTCAGTATATTTCCAGTGCCATTCCATTTTGACAAATTGATCCGCCTATTTGGACAATAGTGACAATAGTGTCATAGGTATTTTCTATTAGCGTTAAATCCACAGCGCATGATAAAGTTAAATGACTTTAAGAGGCTCGTAATTAGAGCATTCCTCGTAATTGGGTATCGCGATTTTCAAAAATTTTTTTATTTATTTCAAATGGCAGGCGTTTTGATAGTTATCATTAGCCCTTTAGCTGACTTCGGGCTTCACAAAGGGGAGGAGGAACATCAAAGTAACCAAAGGTCGAGGGATGTGGAACAGAAGAGTGGTTTACAGTTGTAAAAGAGACTGACACAAAGGCAGAGAAAAGGTAGAATGATTACTGTAGAAGTGGTAGAATATGGCATCCAGTGGGGTTATGGTAGTTTGAAGTCAGAAGTCAACTGCCGGATAATAGACTTTTTTGCCATATGAGTATACGTTGCCTGGGGTGCACCACATGGAGGTAAGTCTATCGCAAACCCCATTCTCAAAAATTAAAGATTTGCTATGTAGGCAAACGAAGAATTCTCCATGACTATTTGGAAAAGTGTTAAATAAGCCGAATGAAGGCATCTCAGAGCTGAGTTTATGAGAAACTCAGATTTTCCAACCTACTTATGCCATTTGATGTCTACCGATTGCCATCGATCTCGAAATCCCTGGTCTGGTGAACTTGCGAGCTGAAAACGCCTTCAGTGCTCTATTTTTAGACAGATTAAAATAGTTTGAAATCTCTCGGCAAGAGAAAATAGTTTTCCTATTTCCCATTGTTAGTAAAGTTTTATTACAACTATTTACACAACCTTAGTAACTTATTACTGGGAAAATTAATTAAATTCGCTTTTCGCTTTGAACTTCAAATAGCCTATACGCAAGCAGCAGCTTGTTGGTGGGAAAGATTGCAAACAACTTACACCCGGTAAAAGTACAATTAAGGTGTTTGAAAGTGTTCAGAATTACAAATTTGCAAAACCAAAAACCTTTTGAAAGCCTTTCGAACCGCCCAAATACCAAAAACATGCACTTTATGTGAAAATTTATTTATTTCGAATGGCAGGCGTTATGATAGGTATCATTAGTCCTTTAGTTGACTTTGGGCTTCATCGAAAGGGAGAGGAACATCAAAGTGGCAAAAAGTCGAGAGGGGGATCGAATAATGATTCACAGACGTAAAAGAGACAGACAGACAGACACAAAGGTAGAAAAAAGGTAAGATGAATGCGGTGTAGGTGGTCGAAAATGACACACAGTGGGGTGATGGTAGTTTGAAGTCAGAAGTCAACTGCTCGTTCATAGACTTTTTTGTCGTATGAGTATACTTTGCCCAGGGTGCACCGCGTGGAGGTAAGTCTAAGTGAAAATAAGCGTTACTAGGATGACCTTCACTCCCAACCGGACTGCCGCCTGTTTGCCACTAGCCAAATACTAAAACTATATTTACTCAAACCTAGTAGAAAGTAGAGGAAGGGCTTGTAAGGCCCCCAACCCAAAAATGAGCGATTACTTATATTTATTGTGGAATTGGTTGGCTGTCTGAGCAGCCGGTACAGTTATGGTCCAATAGTAATGAAAAAACCTCGGTAATCGATTGATGAATTCTCTTCACTGATGGTTTTGCCTTGAGTTCCACTACACATATTGAGCATATTTTTGATTCTCTTTCCAATCGGACGCCATTAAACTATAAGAACGAGGAGGTGGGTGATTGAAGAAATGGGAAATAAACTTAAATTTTAAGCCAAATACGAGGTAGCAGAAAAAGATTAAGCCATCGACAAGGTTTTTAATATCGATATTTTTACCACTGTGACTGAAGCACGATTGCCTTTCTCCTGCCTACAAGTACACCTCCTTTGTTTACACAGTCAGTTACAGTTGCCTCAAAATGACAAAAAAGGTGAACTTATCATCTTGGCTTCTTCCCTAGATCCTTATACGTCAACCTATCCTATTGCGGAGCGGCCCTTTAATCAATGAAGTTTAATGGGGTGGTTATCTCAGTAATACACTGATTGATTATTACCGATATTTTCTTATTGACCCCTTCTGAACTTTACCAGATCGTCAGAGAAAAGTTTACTTAAATGAAGCGATCACAAAGACGATTCCTGGTCTAGAACACCACTCATTTGTCTATCCAAGTTTTAAAAATTATTGCTCCTACCAAACGTTCCCCGGTGCTAAATCACAGTGAAATCAGCTTTCCTCTGTTCATAATGCGCATTACCGACTAACCAAATATTCACTTTGAGTGAGCAAGCACTCCACGGAGCCCTAAGGAGACAAAACTCAAAGTCCATCAACACCTCCCTAACCCAGACTTAACTAGAGGGACTAACCATGGAAAACGGATCAGACACTATATTGACATCCCAGTTCTAGCTCCCTCTTGCGGGCCTTCAAGCTAAACAAAAATGGTTTAGAGGAGACCAACAATGGAACGACAGCTTGAGAATTTTGTCCATCCAATGTTAAAAAAACCAAGCAAACCCAATGGACCCTCCAAAGACAAATAAAAGAACGCACTTTTTCAGGGGCCAGGGTACATTCAGGGACTCAAAGTGGGAGTGGTGGTACATGGTACAAGGGAATATATATATATATAGGAAAGGAGTAGAATGAATGACATACAACCTCACAAGGCGTAACAGTCCATTTTTTCGCATTTTCTCCAAGAAATGTGAGACGAGAACCGGGAGAGGGAATCTTTTTGGTTTTTCTTTCATATAAAAGGAAAAGGGACGTTTTCATCTCGATATTTTTCATCCATTTTATAGTTTTTAATTCTGAGAATACAGAAAAGCGCATTTTGTCTTTTCTGAAGATACGTATATAGAGAAAAGGGTAGAGTGAAGAAGGGTTCGAGATCTAAGAGGGATGAATGTCACCTATGAGAGGGATATTGTTTTGTTCAGGGAGTAAAGGGGGAGGAAACGGGGAGAATTGGTTGCAGGAGAATGAAAATCTAGGGGAAGGCAGAAGGGAGTAGTGAATGGTTGAGGAAAGAAAGTAAAGATATTTCCTATTTTGCGGGAGGCGAAGAGGCTACAGCATTCGAATTTGATGTTACAGCTGCTGTTATCGACGTCCTCGAGGCAGAGGCAGTAGGAGACACCGGACCCATATTATTTCCTGGAGCCCGGTTGCTATGGCCACGTTGATGATGATAATGATGTTGAGCAGCACCACCGCCACCACCTTTTCCTGCGGCAGACTTGCTGTTATTGTACTTGTTACCCTTGTTACTACCGCTACTATTCGGTCGAGAATGTTGCTGCGCAGCTGATCCAGACGACTGCTGATGATTAGTCGCCACCGAATGTTTCTTTGGAGGAGCTGAACCTGACTCCTCATTCACCGCAGCAGCCGTTGACGATGCTGTCGTCGACTCATCCTTACCACCGATACTACTGCTCGCACTGCTACTCGGAACACTTGTAGAAGGAATAGGAGCATTGGTATTCGTAGTGGTGGAAACATTCTTGACGTTCTCATTCGGAGATGTCGTAGCAACGGTAGTAGGCTGATTTGTAGTAGTAACTTGAGTGGGCAAGAGGCTGGCGGGTGGGACATTGTAAAGCTGGTAATTAGAAGCCTGGGGAATAGGATGATGGTGTTGGGCAGAGCGAATTGGAGGCGGTGGGGGCTGATTGGGAGGCCAAGCCATTATGGGAGTACCAGACATGACAGAAGGAGCGGTGTAGCCAAGGTGAGAGAAGCTACCGCTGTTCATCAGAGCAGCACCCTCAGTTAGCCAAGCAGAATCATATGATTGGGAGGGAGGAAAACCGGGTGCAAAATGAGCGTCATGGGGGTTGTGCATATTATACAGAGGAGGCGCAGCACCAGGAAGCTGAAGATTTAGCACATTTGCTGAAACGTTGACAGGAGTCTGCTGCTGTGGGGGCATAGTGGTTGCATGAGGTGGAGGAGGAGACACCCTTCTTTGGGCGGCAGCTGTTTGTTGCTGATGAGGATTGAAAAATTGATGATGCGGGATACTGGCAGCTGGAGCAGTCCCAGGTCGAGGTGGGCCAGCAGCATTTGATGGAAACAAGCTGGGTGCGAAAGGAGCAGAGAATTGAAAATTCGTATTTCTCGCATTAAAAGCAGCGAGTGCTGCAGCAGCAAAGTTAGACATTGGATTGAAAAATTGGGAAGCATGCTGTGCAGTAGGATGATGAGGATTCCCAGTAGCAGCGGCTTGAGGCGTTGGTTGACCAGGCTGTCCTAAATTCATGCCCGACATAATTGAAGTGAGTTGAGTAATTGCAGCATTTTGACTTAAAGCAGTCGCTGTAACAGAGGGTGCTCGAGCCGGAGGTTGATAGAAAGGATTTGGAGGCGGATAAATCATAGAAGAGGGATCCAGGTTATTTGAGGCAGGGAAACGGAAAACCGAATACTGTTGCAGAGGAGGAAATGAAGGATCGATTTCCGGGTTGGCCGAGGCCGAAGGAGTAGGCCTTTCAGAATTTCCGGCCCGGCTATCGAAACTCGCCCTAGTCGATTCAGCTTGAAGCAAAGAACTAGGACCAGATGAAGGTCCAGGATCTGAAATATAACTTCAACCATGAAAAAAGATTCGAAAGGGGTTTAGTCAAATTATGAGGGTAACTCACAGTTATCTTTGCGCTTTAATGAGCTAATGCCTTCCGGACTAGAAACAATTACTAACGAGTCACTCCCAGTTTCAATAGCAGTCTTTAATTCCTCAATAGTTGTATTTACAGATGCAAGTCGAGGAGCCTGAATAACTTGTTCCAATGAAATAGAGTAATTGTCATCCATTAGTGATCGGAAGATTGCATCACGATCAATGTTTTCTTTTGAAAAATAGTACTGACTAGAGGGGCAACACACTTAGATTAATACAAACAACTTACGTGAAATAGAGAATGTACGGGATCTTTCCAGTAAAGAGGCAATAACGATCTCTTCTAGCAGACCTCGGTGCATATGCGCGTCCATCTGGCAATAATCCCGTCTCGATTTTTTCATCCTGCTGATCAGGCGGCAGTAATGCCTTTAAATCCTCAAGAGAAACATATGTAAAAGGCTCGTTCGCTGGTGGAGAAGGGGCGAAATTTAATGCACTAGCAGGAATAGGTGCTGGATGGTAGTTAACTGGTGGCATTTGAAAGGAAGGTACAAAATAACCCCCTTGACTCAAAAGCACATTTTCATTGCTCATGACTGTTGACAGGCAGAAATATTTACAGGAAACAGACGTAAAATAAAAGCTTTTATGTTTTACTGTTTAAGTACACGAGGTGAGTGACCTAAACACGAGTCAACTAGCAAGTGAAACGAAACACAAGAACGACTCTCAACGGACCCGCGATGTTTTCCAGAAATGTAATTTAAAACACTTATTTTTAATTTAATAAAATTTTATTAGATTTTGTAAAATTTTTTTAAAATATTACTGAATAAAAAATGAAATAAATTTTAAGTTTTACTTTTAGCAACCTCTTTTGATATGGTGTGTCAAAATGCGACCACGAACTGTCCTACCTATAAGGCTTTACAGCTCCTCTTCTTTGACTCTAAATGAAAGGTAAAACAAATCCCAATTTTAATTTGTTAGATTTCGTCGCTTAGAAAATCTAAATCCGCGGAAAGGTGTTCCTAATCCACTTGGAATTCGAGTTAGATTTTATTATTATTTTTGTTATTTCAATAGCGAACTAACCCTCAAAGAACTCCTGCTACAATGAGATTAGGTCAGAGATTCACAGGTTCTCTTCGGGGACGTGGAAGGCCGCTAAAAAAATCTGGAAGATCGTAAGATAGTGATGTTGTTTTTAATTAATTTCATTAGATTGAATCAAAATCTTCCCATTCCATCCACTCAACCGCCTCCTCACATGTTCGCTGCTCGTAGAAGTGGTTTTCGTGGTCGTGGACGTGGAGCTGTTAGAGCTATCGAAAAACGTCGTGGAAACAATAGAAGATTTAATCGAGGTGGTGGAGGAAGAAGACCGAATAACGCCGATAATGAAAAGGTTCGCGCCGATTTAGATAAACAACTGAGTGAGTACATGGAAAGCCCTAATGGAAATTAACATACTTCCCTTCCGTTTTATGCTGATTATTTATTCTGCCTGCTTACTTATATTTACGGGACCCCTAACTGCACGACTTTCGTTTCTTTTCCTCTATGTATGCTCTTTTTATATGTAATTTAAAACAAGCGTGCAAATAAATAGCCATTTTATACCGGTAATAAACATTAACTAGCTTTTTAGGTGACAAGTTGGATTTTCTGTGATCACTACATAGTGTGTCCGGGACTACGATTTTCGAATGAATGCTTGAAGCTTTATTTATTTCGTTATGGAACTTTTTCATAAATTTATTAACTTTCAAATGATATTTCACTTTAAATACCGCCTCATTTAAGTTTGCACAATCTTTCTTTTGACCAAATTGTTCTATTGCTTTATTTCGTTGTCTAGTCGCCTTCTGTTTCACTTCATCTATGAAGAATTGCTGTCATTGGTCGAAATTCTTTTCTAAGCAAAGTTAACCATTAGTTCCAGGTTTTTTATGGTTTATCAGCAAACGAGTTCAATTGTTCGTTACAGCAAATTGATTCCTTGAATATAGCTTACGCACTGTATCGTGCAAGCCAAGTATGTTGAAGAAACATGATCCGAAAACGAGAATACTTAAGTATGCGCACACACACAAACAGTGATCATTTCGCTACCGACGCACACTTTGGATCTATTGATGATTTAACCACAGTTGGACCCAATACTTTACTTTGTAATATTTATTTATATAAAATGGCAGGCATTATGATAGCTATCGTTAGCCCTTTAGTTGACTTCAGGCTTCACAGAGGGGAGGAACATCAAAGTAACAGAATGTCGAGGGGTGGGGAACAGAAGAATGATTCACAGATGCAAAAGAGATAGATAGACACAAAGGCAGAGAGAAAGTAAGTTGAGTACTGTGGAAGTGGTGAAATATGACATACAGTGGGTGAAGGTAATTTGAAGTCAGAAGTCAATTTGCAGTTTATAGACTTATTTTGCCGTATGAGTATACGTTGCCCAGGTTGCACCACGTGGAGGTAAGTCTATCGCACAACCCTGAATTAATCAATCATCTTCCTCGCCCAATGTGCCCCAGTGTAAAGATGCCCTATAGAGTCACGTTTCACAGGCTATCTAGAAGATTTTTTTCCCCTAAAACTCACAGAATCCGGTTGAATCCATCTATTCATAATTTGATTACCAAAGGTGTTTGTATGTTAAGTTAGATATAGTAAATCCATCATAAGTGCTGTTATACCAGGAAGTAAAGTTGCTCATAATTAGTAATGGAGGTAGTACTTATTTAAAGTGATGAGGTGCTGACGAATTCAAAGATGTCTCCTGGTTAATTAGGCACTTACCAAGGCGAATGCTATTGCACTTCCTTATTTAATGATAGTTTGTTTTCCCAATGCCATGCTTATAATTTTGGAGAATTGCGCATCAAACTGTCAAGTGGCTGACCCCCTCCATGTCAAATAGTTTATTTCGTGTGGCACATGTTTGATTAGCTCGCAAACGTAGTTTTCAATTCCCCTAATTCGCCTCTCTCGCCAGAGATTATAGCAAATGAATTAGATTACAAGTAAACGTGTTTAAAATTAATTATGTAATTGTGATAACATGGATATTTATTTATTTCTATCAAATGGCAGGCGTTTTGATAGTTATCATTAGCCCTTTAGTTGATATCAGGCTTCACAGAGGGGAGGAGGAACATCAAAGTGACGAAAAGTCGAGAGGGGGGGGGGTAGGAACAGAAGAGTGTTTCAAAGATGTAAAAGAAACAGACAGACACCAAGGCTCAGAAAGGTTAAGATGAGTACTGTGATAGGAGTCGAATATGACATACAGTGGGTGGTGATGGTTGTTTAAAGTGAGAATTCAACTGCCGGATAATAGACTTTTTTGCCGTATGATTATACGTTGCCCAGGGTGCACCACGCGGAGGTAAGTCTATCCCACACCCCGATAACATGGATATAGATTATTGATCCTATGAAAATACTGCATGTTGCTTCAAATTTGCTCCTATGTACAAAATCACCTCATGTTCTAAGGTAATCCTCATAACCTCGCATTAGGATAAGCGGAGAAGAA